TTACACAACCGAAATCTCGCTTTCTAACTGCCTCATTACGGATTTGCCGACACCAACCCACACGAGCTATGGTTTTGAGACAACGATTGTCGAACACCTGAAGACGTCTCAGTTCCGCTGCTCGAATAGGCCAAGTCTCACAGCCATACAACAAAACAACCCGTACTCTAGCTTGATACACACGTCCCTTCAGATTCAGGGACAAACTATACTGACGCCATAGGTGTCTTAAATTAGCAAACGCCGTCCGAGCCTTGCAGATTCGTGCATTCACCTCACCTGTCACACTACAATCAGAACTAATACTGATACTGATGTCATACTGCCGTAAGTCTGTGTAGAGGCTGGGATATTACCAGAACACTCACACTTAGAGAGGATGGTGATTAGAGCCTTCAGTCAAGGAATCTGGCACAGAGGACTGATTGCAGGATAGTAGGATGGCGCCAACGTACTATCACCATAGCACATGTTTACAAGGAACAAATTGATATACGTGGCCTAACGTTCAACCCAGAAGACCAGGAGACCGTGTGTATCAAATCTTCACTCACTGACAATCTTGTAAGAGAGACTGTAGATGTTGCAAGGGTGTCTCACAATGCAGTCCAACGGGTTGCTGAGGCGTACGGAGTGTTGCTCCACGTTAGGGTGCAGCCTCTTCATAAAACCTTGGAAGTTAAGTAGGTCAGGGCGGATATCGTTACTGCAGAAAAGATCGTCCGATTGGTGATAGGTGACGAAACAATACTTGTATTTCACGGATAACTACTTAAAATCGTTTCGTTATTTCTTCAACGCGCCCTCAATTGTCAACGGGTAAAAAAGCGTGATGTAGTAATGGCGATCAAGAAATGGGAACATCCATGCATGAGGAAGAGGACCAAAGGATTTATTTTAAAACAATTTAACGCTGGAGAACTTATTCCTCTTTCCTTTGATTAGATTTTGAGTGTAAATCTGCAGCTGAGAACAAGACTGTTTATACGACAAGTACCTCATGTGCATAGCAATTTGATTTATATTTTGTTGCATAGGTTTCCCAATAGTTTAGGCTCCATGGATGAATTCAGACGTCTACAAGACACTGTCATCCATTTCTGAGAGCCGAAAATTTCACTATTGGTTAGTTACGTTACTACCACCATTCGATGGTATCACATCCGTGATGGACTTAAAAACCGAAACAGATACAGATTAACAATAATCGATGAGTCCCCTAGGTTTTCGTTGTGTTTCCGGGTCCCGATAGGAGTTGCCATTTCTAACCTAGCGGAACACGCAACCTTCTTTGTCATTCTTTGCAACGAGAATTTCCAGTCACAGACTTCAACATAGTCATCCTTCGTCCATCCCAACCATGGCACATGTTTTGTATCAGATAGACTCCAAAAGTTCCTTTAAAATGAAGAAGCTAGGACAAGTATGTCATAAAATAAACCACGCATCAGGAAATTCGTATGGCTTAACAAGGCTCGGTAGAGGTGTCTGTGCTGAACATCACTTGAATGCTGCCGGAATCCACAGATGCTGCAACTTGCGAGCGACACTTAGTGTGCAATCGCAAGTCTTCTTTGGAGTCATGACTGGTAATTTTTACTCTATATTTTCGGCTCACGTACTGTCGTTACTTGATAAATAATGTGTACATTACAGGCTTGTATCCTGTCTTATGTCTAATTTCGACCTGGAACTATTCGACTCTCACAAAACTTGGGTATATCAAATCTTCAGTAGTTATTGTTATCCGGATATAGGCTAACAAGTCCGCAATCTCGATCCACTAACTGAGGTCGAGATCCCAGGACGTAACCGGAAGTTTGAGGAGATGAGTCGAACAAGAAGGAGACTGCATTATGCTGGCGACGGGCAACATTGGAACAGCTCAAACTGAAACTCTAAAAGACCAAGTGCATTCAGGAAAATGTGGATGTTACTGATAACCTAGACAGTAGCTCTAACTGGACGAAAGAAACAGTGCAATCCGTGACTGAAGTTTACGACAGCATTCTTCTAAAGTAACAAAGAATTATAATACACTACTGGCTTGACAGAGAAGCATGTTCACAGTTTGTCCAAACTAATTAATTGCGCACACCCGTCACCTTCTTAGAGGATATTGTTACACATCAATGTGCCGGCGTTGGCGATTTTCATGACTATCACTGTTTTATTTGCTGGTTCTTAGCTTACAGTCAGGTACCTAGGAAGGTTTACCACCGGACCACATTCGTGATGAAATACGGCGGCTCCCAACAAAATAACTTATGGAAGCACTGTTGTCACCAACCCAAATCTTGGCGTTCGCCTAAGAGTATGAGTATAAGAGTTCCATGATTTGGGTTCGTTTGGTCCGTCACAATAACATAAATTCATGCCCGAAACGTGGGGCCCGATAACAAATTGTCGCTGTTACATATATACTCACAGCGTGAAGGTGGTGACCAAACACAATTACACATTGTGAGTGACGGGGTATGCTGTCGAAGCCAGCAGTGCCAGAAATGGTGGGTGAGAACATGGACAAATCGACTACCCAACCAATGTCATTTATATCACGAAAAGACAGGATTCTGTCGTGATACGACAGCTTGCGCAGCTCCACATCCCGTAAGATTCAAATCAACCTTTCAGCTTTAAACCATGTATCATGGGTACATCGGTCCAACTGCTACGGTTTGATCACAGGAAAGTGGAAGAACGTAGGAGATACACTATTGGAGGTAATGAAATGTTGGGTTACTCAGAGAATTGGACAGCCAAGTAGTGAAGACTATAGTTCGGATACACGAGCACCAACGGATGTGTTATTGGGCCGTGGCTGCCAGCGTCATAAATCGTTGGTGGGTTTCCGTCACCAAGATACTGGAGTTGACTGTAGTGTGACGGTTTGTGTACCTCGTCAACCCACTGAGCTATACTGGGGATGGGTGGCCGCGCGGCACTCGCACAGTCTCTCATACCAAGGTTGGTCAATGGTTTAGAGGTTTGACCGACAGATTCCTGCCCCTCCAGGTTGGGGGTTGGAACATGTGTGGCGACATGCTCCGGAAAAATGGTTGTGCTTGCATTTCCCACCAAACACCGCTACCTTACGGTCAGGCTTCTGAGTCACAGGCTTCGGTCGAGGACCCTAATATTTCTCTTGTCTATGTCTCAGCGCCCTGGCATTACCGCCTCCTACATGCAACTAAGAGCTGCAAATACATAAATAAACTCATGCAACATCGGTCGCCGAGCGGTGCCCTAAGCCGCACGGATAAGCAAAAACATGCTAATGCTGAAGCCTCCTTTACTTCTCTCTCATATAGTTTTTCTTCCCCATCTCTACATCCCATTAATAATTCTATCGTTTTAGGTCCATCAGCAAGGACTGATGATTCCAATGGTCTTGTATAGGTTTTGCAAGCAACGTCTGCACGCCGTCCGGCTGCAACATTCTCAAGTATCTCGCAATCAATATTCAAGTCTATCTGGCCACCATCAATGTCCGTACTATGAAGCCAGCAGGATAACAAACTGCTTTTGATCTCACACTGGACTCACTTGGTTATGATGTGTGCTGTGCATCAGAAACAATAATTCAAAATGTAACAACAGTGGTTGAGCTAACAGTCCCTCATTCTCCACTCGCTTCCAGCTGCACACCTCTGGCGATTCAGAGGCTGCGGTGCAAAGGTGTGCGGGGGGTGTTTATCGTCCTAGGTCACCGCGCGGACGTAACCTTGTTTCACTGGATACCCGTTGATAGTGGCCTGTCGGCGGTTCGTCTGCAACGTCCCCTTATATTTTTTTCTTCACAACTAGGCTTTCAAACACGGCAGCGAAGCATCAGTGTTTACCACTGATGTCACGCTCTCGTTGGATATGATTATGGTGACTGGTGAGTTGGATCCCGGGGTCCCGATCCAGTGAGGCGGCATTTTTCGACACGAATATGGTTATTGGTCAGTGTTTTTATACATCGGTGTTAAATCATTCACTGCCCATTTCTCCATGGCCTCAAATCAGCACAGCGCTGGATGAAAAGGGCTGTGTGATGTAGATAATCTTATGGGATTCGAAGTACATACCTTCAACCAGCTTAATCCACCGAGGGTGGACAGTTCATCCACCACAGAAGAGTTCCTTCTTCCTAAAACTACCTGGCGTACCTAAGCATCGCTAATCCGATGTTCGCATCAAACCTCATTAACGCTTTAGAGACACCGATGGGTACTGACAGTTTTAATTTCGTCTGTGCGTACAGGACACGTCCCTTATTCACAAAACAGCATGGACAGCACTGCGTAGTACTCCGTTCTTGACAAACTGAGTTCACGTAGCACCATCGGGGTAAGACTTGGGCAAAACCTAGCCTGGCTTTCCCGATTCAATAAATAATCTCGTCCCCAGCCAGGCCATCGAAACTTGCACAACTGCCAAGGTAGACAGTTATCTGCCTCATCGGTTAGCTCATCTACAAGCATGTGGTTTGTTTGATCCTACTCAGTCTTCTAGCAGCACTCTACACTTTGCAGGTATGAGGTTCTTGCAACCGTGCGGCAAAATTACGTTTTTGGAAAGATATGAAGGGAGCAACATCGTCCGCCTACTCAACGTCAGTGAGCGAACCTTCCGGTAGCATTTTAACTCCCGAGGCTTCACAAACAGGGAGGGAAATTTCAAATAGCACATCTATGACAGAGTTGGAGAGAAAAAGCGAGAGGAGGCAATCTTGTCCCACACCACTGAATGAGATGAACTATGGAGGAAGCTTGCCGTATACTCGTACCTGTCCACAGCATTTCGCATAGTTTCCTCATAAAGGTATAACCTTTATGAGCTTCAGGTGGGTCAGTTGTTAAGGCGCGAATTTACTACCCGGAAGATCTTTGGTTCGAACCCAATCTCGGCATTTCGACAGCGCCTGTCTATACTCGGTCAAGCTGGCAGTATCTCAACCATCAGGCTTCCTTTGGATGGCATGGTTACTAGGCACCAGAAGGATGTTACAGCAGAACGACGACCACTACTAAGGGTTATAAAGTTAGAAGGGACACCTGTGACTGCCTAACACCACCAAGGTATTTGACAACCGGAAGAGTAGAAATCGGTTTTCACATCAAGAAGAGCGATCGACGTTTGACCTTTGAAAGAATAGCGCTTTTAAAGAATTTGTCTCAAGGTCGATGCATCACCAGTCAAGGCGAAATCCAGGTTGACTCTCACGAATCTGTCCCTTTCGGTAATAGATCCACCTACACAAAATAATGCCAGAGAACATTTTGGATGCCATGGCCACTAAACGAGTGAAACGGTAGTTCTTGCGTGGCACTTTTTCGCACTTTTTGAAGTTTGGGACTACGATAGAGTTGCTTTATTCCGCTTGCATGCAGTCTTCGATCCAAATCTTTGAGACTGGGGTCGTCAGGCTGCTCGATAGAGTCCAGCTCATCAATCGAAACGTCTCTGCAGACCACAAAGCCCTCCAACTTTTTTAAAAATTGTTTTTCTGACACCCATATTGTTTGGTTCGTTGGTTGAATCAGTGAATAAGGTTCCGGCCTAGTAGGGATGCGTTGATCATTTCTTCACACTCCGTTCAGCGCTAGAACAAGGGCACATATAAACGACCTATGATTTTATTACTCCTGAATATCAAAGACGCATCCGACTCAGTTGACCGCTTTGTTCTCCTCGAAGTATTTTGTCAGGAAAGAATACCCCGGAAGTCTGTGCATATAATACGTTCTTCGTATTTTCAGACTTGCTTGAGGCCCTCCAAAAACTTTCACAAACATGAACTGTGGATGATATGCAACCTGTCTGTTCCTGGAGGGCAGAGCCAAGGCAGATGTGGTTGAATTCAGCAGGTCTCTAAATAACATTCACATAAGCTATTCTACTCTTTGCTTGGTAGCTTCATACACCGTGGATCTAGACGCAGACGATGACATTCTGGAATGAAAAGCTGCAAAACACGTAAAGTATCGTAAACATATCAGGTGGATGCCCACATGTGGTACTGCGAACAAACACTGCATTGACGTCAATCAGTGGACGACCCCCTTCGCATTCGGACTGCGGTGTTTTCGCCCCTACGCGAGTACACTGTCGTCATCTGTATTGGGTAAAAGTTTGTACACACATAAACGGTTCTAAGCAGTCAAAGGTTTACTGCGACTGAGGTGGAAATAAACGAGTGATAAACAATCGATTTGTGTCAAAAAGGAAGCATAAAGCATTGCGAACCAGAAAATAAACCCGATAGATGGAGCTGCCAGCTGATGGAGACAGTCATTTGGCGTGGTCTTGCCAAGCGTTACCATGATGACTGTTTAGTCGTACCTTGCAGCCACATATTGCATGGCTGGTAGTAAGCCGGTTGTGCTGGTCATTTTCGTGTTAGGCGTCCAAATAACGTCACACTTTCACATTTGCTTGGCGTTCGCAGAATGCCACACATGCATATGCGTGAGGGGTGCAAAACGGCGTACTTTAATGGAGAGCTAACTTATATGGTTATAAACGTAGGCTACAGATTACCTATTCATACGAAATCCCTACAACACCATTCCTCCAAGAGTGCTATTAAGGTAGGCTAATTAGTGCGGTGCTATTACAGCAACCTCTCGTGGGTCCGTCCCATTCACATTGGACCTGCACTATAAAAACCTCACTTTCGACTGTATAGTTATACATGGTCGCTGAATGACGCTTTAGGTATCACTGATTTGTGTCAACACAAAACTCTCATCACATGCATGTAGAGTCCGTGTAAGTCGCCGGGGAGTATATATTAAAAATCGTTACACCTAAGGCAAAAACGGAGTGCGGGTAGAACAAACAACTAAAAACGCTGTTGCAGTGCATATGAATGAAATTGAGACTTTATTAGTTGTTGAAATTCTACGGAGCCTTTCATGGATTCCTTTTAGGTCACAAAAATGAAGAATCAAAAAGTTGTGGTGATAGTGATATTAATCCAATGGACAGAACTTTGCACGCCTAGTCCTCGCAACGTTCAATAGGCCCAACACATATGTGATTGGTCAGGCTGCTGACCTGCACAGTATACGACTAGGATACACAACCAATCATATTATAGTATTATCCCATCGTCGGGCGCTCAGTATTCGCACAATGGAATTGATTTCTCGGAAACTGCAATATTTTAAAGGCTTCCACTTCGTAGTGTAGAATGACAATGCATAGTATATATTAACTGAGTAAATTGTCTACATCTGTGATTTGGTTAAATCAGTAAACACAGACGAATATGAATACGTTCCCCAGGAAAATGATCAGGAAGATGATGACATTGACTAACTAACCCCATTGAACCTATGACGATTGGAGCGCATAGCTGAACGTACCTGGCAGACGATATACACCATTGGGCCGTAAGCTATGAGAAGAAGTCAAATCAGCTGCCACAGCAAAATCCAACTATGCGCACCTACTCAACAGAGCCTGTCGACACTTCCGGCGGTATCTGTATACAACCTGAGTGGTAATGATCTTGCCGAATTTATCGGCTACAAACCGCCGTATTTCAAATGATGACGTCCCACAATCCAGCAGGGCCTTACAAGTGCCCAACTCGTCATCGGTTAACTGTCGATTAGCCTGAAGTCGATCGTACAAACACTTAGACAGCTTATACCTGTGTTCGAGATAATATAAGATGATTCCAGGTGGCCCCTTTGCATCCTTAGACAAAACCGCGTTGGACAGCCGAAGCTTCTCGTACTGTTTTTTATCGGAAAACACGCTCAGCTTACTGACTCAGCGGATTATTGGAATATCCGTTAGCTTTGATCATCTGCTAAATTTGTACTACATTTATTCGTAACGCAAAATTGCGTTGATGCCTCGACTACTAGATGAACGCAGAAACACAAAAGTTATCTTCAAGTTTCGATTTAAAACCTCATCAAATGCCGTGAAGGACGAAAGGGATACAGCCCATAATTTCTCAAAAAGTGTGTGTGGAGACACTTTCAAAACCATAACTCGACAGGTCCAAAAACGAGTGTGCGCCAGAAATTTTGAAAGTAGGTTAACTGAAGGAAACTGCAGAAAAACGACGACAGGATAGGCGATTATATGTCTGTGCACATATCCAACAAAATGCAACATTTTGGTGCAAAAAGTTTAATTTCGCTCGCACAGGGTTTACAGAAAAAGCATTGTTCCTCCAAGGTGCGGCAGTAATAACTGACACGCAATCTCGTATTGAAATAAGCGAGAAATATATTACTTGTGATCAATCCAGACAAATTTAAGAAAAAAACAGATGGTCTAGTAACATCTTGGTTTTACCGTGCGTGCAATGTACTGCTACGTTTTACCGCAAAAGTTTTCAATCTAAACATTATGGTTATCGAGTAAATTGCGTTTTTCGAATGGTGGTCCGCTTGTTACGTATGCAAAGATCGCCAAGTACAAGATAAAACGATCTGCGTGACTAGTGCATTCATCTATCTCAGGAGAATCACCATCTTACCATACTGTGTGCACTACTATATCTGGGATTCAGACTAATGAAAATCACTCCAGGTGGAGGAATTGCCATCTGTTTGAAATCCTTCGTAGCACAGAGGCGAGTAGAACTACGTGGCTCAGCCGAAACGTGGGCTCGCTATATTGTACGCACAGAGCCAAATAATGCAGGCAAATACTGGTGCGTACGACAGGGGAGTGACTGCACGTGGTTCGTTAAGGGAGCTCAGAACTTTAGGATGTGCGCAAGTTGCTGGTCTATCTAATACTCTCAATAATTGGTGGTACATGCGTTCAGCGCACTTAAATGACTGATGCTGAGAGCCAAACCGGTTGCCTGAAATAACTAAAGAATGATGAAAATTTTCATTGAGAATTAACTTGTTGGAAGAATGGATGACGTAGACGGGTGGCCAGTTGTAATTATTGGACTTCT